GGTGGTGTATGCCTCCTTGGTGGATGTCCCCTGCTTTCACTGCCTATAAATTTCTTTCTTTGCCTCCAGTCTTTCCTGGAGCTCCCTGTTCAGCCAAGGGGGCTTTTTTTTTATCCCTTTAGCCCCTTTCCTCCATAAGGGGATAGACTCCTTTTGTGCCTTTAGATTCAAAGAGAGCCAGGACACTTCTTCAGAAGATTATTATTTCCATGGGCAAACATCTGGGGGATATTCATCAGGCTATTCTGATCAGACTTGTAGCATGTTAGCTCAGCTCACGCAGTCTTTATTGTTCAGGCACCCCTGCTTCACAGACAACAGCATGAAATACAAATCAGTAATCAGCAAGCAAGCTCATACACAGTCAATAAAGGGTTAACTCAGAAACCTAGGGTCTTTTCCCAGACCCTGAGAGGGTTGTCTGGACCACTCTGCTGCCTCTAGCCTCACAGCCTGCTCTCTCATCCTTTTGTCTTTCCTATAGACCCAAAGAGGGCCACTCTGGCTATGTTCTGCAGGCTCTAAATCTTCCTACTTGCCTTCCTTTGCTGGGGTCTTTTCCAGACCCCAAGACAGTACCCTGGCTCCACATTGCAGCCACCAGCCTGGGAGCTTTCTCTCTCAGTCCCCCTCTTCTCTAGCTCCCTTCCCTGGAAGCTTTTAGTTTCCTTTGGCCAGCCAGTTCTCAGCAGCTGGGCCACATCTCCTAGCTGGCATGCAATCACCAGGTCACTGCCTGCAGGTGTGCTGCAGCCCCTGTGGCATGCAGCCTGCTACACTGGAGCCCCTTCAAGCATGTAGCCTGCTACAAGACTCTTACTTTAATCGTATGTCCTTTTGGCTTGTTGGGGCTAGTCTGGTTCTAGGCCTTAGGTACACAGTTGTGGCATAGGGCCCATGTCTGATATTCTTCTTGATACTGAGAAGCCTGTGGTCAGGACCTGACCCCAGCCTGATGTCTGCCAACAATCCCCAGGAGCTGTTGCATGCTCTCAGGGTTGAAACGGTAGACCATCTGGTTTGTTTTTGTCTTCCAAAGGCCCAAGGCTGAATTGATTCAATCTTTGCAAGTTAGTCTAAGCTGTGTAGATTGAACCAGTAAGCAAGTGAACAGACATTCACTTTTGATTCAGGAAATGCAGCCACATGCCTGCAGTGGCCCAGGCCAGAAGCCCAGGGTGGGGGGCCACTAGAGTGCCCCTCCCTGCTCAGCTGGAGCAGACACCTTGGGCCAAGGCTAGCCTGCCCACCCAGCAAGGGGGGATTTGCAGGGGAGGTGCAAAGCATCCTGGGATGCTAAGGGACTGAGTTAACTTGAATCTGGAAGGGAACTGGGACAGAAGTTCAATAAACCAATTTAACCTAAAGCAATTAAGTCTGGTACTACATCCATCCAGGTTTATCTTAAACCAGTTTTGGACCTTTTGAAAGTGGCTAATGTGTATTGAACTTCTGTTGAATTAGATTTGAACCAATTTCCGATCACTTATACTGGTTTATGTGTAATTTCTGTTCCGAGCCATAAAAACTATCTTGTGACAGTAGTCCATTCAGTGAGACCCACAGTAAGGAAGGAATTGTGAGTGATAGGAAGGGAAATGTATCATCTCATAATATAGCAAATAAGCAGCATAGAGGGGCTTAGGCTTCTGAGAAATCTAGATTTCCAAACTACAAGCCATGCACCAGTATGGACGTAGGGAAGTGAAAACTACTGTTCCGTACAGATCAGGCCATGGGGGGAGGAGGTGAAGCTTTTTAGAGTGTCATTGGGAAAAAAGAGAGCGATGTGACTATATTATCTAAGGTGAGTCTTCTGTTCCTGGTCCCACAAAGCATTTAAATGCTCACAGCAGATAAGTGGTCCCAGTTACATCATTGGGGATACTCTAGCATTGCCAGCCATATGCGTTCACATTTCATGAGATTCATTTAAAGATCAGGAGAATTTAACAAACAAAAAAAAGATTTTGTTTGTTTGTTTTTCTTTGCCTTCTGATTTTTGAGACTTCAGGACTCGTAGTTTAAAGCTTTACCCGGCAACTACAAAATTAACTTTTCTAATGCAAGTTGAGTATCTTAGGGCACCTCTATATGTGCCAGACATCTGCTCTGACATGTGCTAATTAGCATGCGTGGGAGCAGACTCGATTAATCGAATCAGCTGGAGTGTGCTAATTAATCAGCAGCCTTCATATTGCATCTATTCAGTGTCCCTGTGCTTCAAAATGATGGTGGGGATGCTTTAACAAAATGGTGGTGGGGGTGTCAAACGAGCTTTAGTTCAAGTGCCTCCGCTGTCATTTTGAAGCATAGGATGCTGAATACAAGTGACACTGCTGGCACTTTAATTAGAGCTCTTATTAAAGCGCCCCCCGCCCC